AAACCCGGGAGAATGGTCGGGGTCACAGGCCAGTTTCAGCAGGTAGCAAAGCAGCGTAGTACAGAGGGCCCAGGCAGAGGGATGGGGAACAGAAACAGGATGCAGGACAGATACAGGGCCCAGGACAAACACAACACCAAGGCAGAGTCTGCAAGTCTGGCCATCCCTTAAATACACCAGTATCATCAGTTCCAGGTGTTAGCTGGCTGAAAGGTTGAGTCTCTGATTGCTGGGAGCACCCGCTGGCCAGCCCTGGTACTGCAGATCAAAAGGCAGGTGAGTCCCACCATTGCTGGCCAGTCCATTCCTGACAGTGTGTTGTGCGCTGTCCTTAGCAGAAGGAAAAATCCCATCTATAGTGTTTTCTGCAGATGTAAAGTGAGTGGGTGTAGATTGCGTCTCTTCGACAGCATGATGGGGGACAGATCACTGTATATTTGGATTTTTACCCCTTGGAAATAAATCAAAGTAGTATTGTGTGTGGAATTCAATAAAGACTCTTTACTGTCATAATAATGAAATCGGACAATAACATCCCAAGGCCTAGCACCCAATGGCGGTTTTGGAGCAAGGGAGCGATGAGCCCTATCCATATGCCAGTCTATGTCTTGTACTGCCAGTGCCAGAGCAATAAAGAGACTTTACAATTAATTGTGTACATCTGCTACCCCAACAAACTCAGGGACACCTCGTATTCTGAGGTTTTGCCACCTTTCTTGATTTTCTAGGTCTTCCTGAAAAGATTGTAAACTGAGACATCTGTTGCTTTAAGTCATGATTGTCTTCCTCCAAAACTTGTATGTACTGAAGCAAGCCATCAAATTTGGATTCTATTTGATCAATACATGCTTCAACTTGCACTATCTCCCCTCTTTAATTCTTATGCAATTTTCCTCACAGCGGCCAATATAATATGCATCAGATTTAGAAGCAGATCTTGCAATCTATTATTCAGAATATCAGTTATGAGGTATGGAGCAAAGACAGTGAGAGAGGGAGCAGGAGAGACAGCATGGAGGTCCCCTCCAAAGCCCAACTGAGCCTCTGCAACTGCCATCTGGGGAGAGGGTTCACTAGAGGCCGGGGATGCGGCCCTTGACACATACCTCTCCATGTTTGAAGGCCGCGTGTGCCATGCATGCGATTGGGGGTACTTATGCCTCCCAATTTTCCCCATCAGGACTGGAACGTACTGCAGAGTGTGGGGGTAATATTCCCCTGCAAGCAGAAGCTCATGGAAGCAACGGGTGAATCAGAGAAAGGAGCAGTGTCCCAGAGCCGGCGTTCTATGCGAAAAGCGCTATTCCCCTCCATGCACCAGAAATATATAAATTTAAGTGACAACTTTGTGTAAAAAAAAAAACTAAACATTGTTTTGAAAAATGACAAAAAAAAAAATCTTCCATGGACTCAACATGCCTCTCAGCAAATAGCTTAGGGTGTCTACTTTCTGAAAAAGGGTCATTTGGGTGTGCTTGTACTGCCCTGGCATTTTAGCACCTCAAGAAATGTGATAGGCAGTCAAAGTAAATTCCAGTAACTATACCATAGTTTGTTGATGCTATAACTTTCACATAAACCAAATAATATTCACTTATTGGGAATTTGTTTTTACCAAAGACATGTAGCAAAATACATTTTGGACTAAATTTATGATGAAATTTGAGTTTATTGGATATTTTTTAGAATAGAAATGAGAAAATATCGTTATGGTTTTTTTTTTTAAATTTTCGGTCTTTTGTTCATAGTGCAAAAAATAGAAAACCCAGAGGTGATCAAATACCACCAAAAAAAAAGCTCTATTTGTGGGGAAACAAATGACATAAGTAAACAACAGCGGCTATGTATGAGTTTGTACATGTCACCTGGCTAAACCCTGATGAAGTCACATGAACAGTGATGATACATGCGGAGAGAAGCCTAGGTGACATCGGAGCCAAGAAAAGAAGTGCGGCAGTATTCACAATATCCCAAAACCATTGATTTTAAAACTACGAGTCTAATATTTTAAACAGTGAGTGTACTATTGACTCATAATCATAAAATATATTAAATATTGCACTATGGTTGCTCCTACTTGGCTCTGAGTTCATCCCACAGAGTGAATATAGAGGTACATTGACAGAGTGTGAGCAGGTGGAAGAGAGGAGATACCAGGACCACAGATAGACCACATATCATCCCCAGAAGGTGGGGAAAGCACCTCTGGACCTTTTTTAATTTATAGGTCATGATATGAAGGTCCATCCTTATTCACAGATGAGGTGGTGCACATGTGTAAACACGTGAAATCAGTGGCAGCGCATAACTAATATTCGTTTATTTTGTATGCGGATTATACCCGAATTTTTCAAAATTAAATTATTCTGAACAATTAACAGGGATTTAGTCATTAGTCAGAACAAGGTCTTGTGTATATCCCGCAACTATATTACAGTCAACTGTTGAAAGATTTTCACAGCTTGCAGGAGGAATACAGTTTGCCCACCAAAAGTTTTTCTTCCCAATACTTGCAGTTTTGGTACACTATTTCAAATGCAGTCTAGAGTGACACCCTGGGTTTGTGTTACACCTAAAATCCTTCAAAAAGGATTCAAAGTTTAGCAGAAACCTCTAAGGGGGGACAAATAACAAAACTTTATAGTGCGCTGATACAGAAGATGTAAAAAAAAATGAAACTATTTAACTTCTTGCCGACCAGCCACTGTAGAAATACTGTGGCAGGTCGGCATGGCTGGGCAAAACCACATTTTAAAACGTGCGTTTGCAAAACAGGTAGGTGGCTCGTGAGGCGCGTGCCCGCCCTATCCGTCCCGCCAATCGCATCCGATCGCCGCCGGTCACGGCGGGTCATTACGCAGTCTCTGGTCATCTCCTGTACCGTGTCCGCAGTCCCTGATCATCTCCTGTACCGTGTTCACAGTCTCTGGTCATCTCCTGTACCATGTCTGCAGTCTCTGATCATCTCCTGTACCATGTCTGCAGTCTCTGGTCATCTCCTGTACCTTGTCCGCAGTCTCTGGTCATCTCCTGTACCTTGCCCGCAGTCTCTGGTCATCTCCTGTACCTTGCCCGCAGTCTCTGGTCATCTCCCTTGCCCGCAGTCTCTGGTCATCTCCTGTACCTTGCCCGCAGTCTCTGGTCATCTCCTGTACCTTGCCCGCAGTCTCTGGTCATCTCCTGTAGTATGTCCGTAGTCTCTGGTCATCTCCTGTAGTATGTCTGCAGTCTCTGGTCATCTTCTGTAATACTACCAGTACTATCTCCTGTACTATGTCTGTACTATGTCTGCAGTCTCTGGTCATCTCCTGTAGTATGTCTGCAGTCTCTGGTCATCTTCTGTAATACTACCAGTACTATCTCCTGTACTATGTCTGTACTATGTCTGCAGTCTCTGGTCATCTCCTGTAGTATGTCCGCAGTCTCTGGTCATTTGCTGTAGTACATCCGCAGTCTCTAGCCATTTCTTGTACTATGTCTGCAGTCCATTGGTTCAGAATATATTTTTTTCTTGTTTTATGGAGCAAAAAAATACGGTATATGATCACTAGATGGCACAAACAAAACATATGGTGTACAAACAAACATGTAACATGTGGATCAATTATAGTGCTGAGAGAATGAGGGCAAAAAAGTCACCAAGAGACAGACGGGAGGGGCACTGGAACCCCCCCATACAACTCCACCCCTAAAAGACTGTCAGCTTGCCTCCCAAAAAGACACATCCATAAAATATTTAGAGAACTGTGCTCATTTCCTCATTTAGTCCACCAGGGGCTAGAGTGTCCAAGGTATAGAAACAAAATGTCTCTCTCTTTCACAGAGACGTTTAAAAACGTTCTGCTGTTGGTAGGTCATGGGATATGGCTTCAATGACCCAGACCATCAGACCCTGAGAGGATTTTTGGTGAAATTCCAGGAAGTGCCTGGGGATACTGCATTTGTGGATGCCATCCTCGACAAAATGACGGTGTTCCCCAAAGCTCTTCCTGAGTGTCCGGATAGTTTGGCCCACGTACAGCAAGCCACATGGACAAGAAAGACAGCAGAAAACATATTCAGATGACAAGTGTAAAACTCAGAAGTGGGGTAAGTTTTACCCTAGTCTCTATGTCCATCTCAGACATGCTTGCACGTGAGACACCTGGGTTTACAGCACTGACACATGCCTTTTATGATAGAGAAGGTTAGAGAAACACCTATCTTGGCCTGAATACCTTTGACCTTACTTTGGTCTACCTTACGTTTAATATTTCAGGACCATCTATAGGAAACTTTTGTTTTGACTGTAAGTGAGGATTTTATATGGGGATCCTCAAGCAGTATGGACCAGTGTTTTTGTAATATATGTTCCATATTTCTGAACTGCGTATGGAACTGGGTAGTAAACCTGAGAGGTTGTGGACTATAAGTGGGTGTCTTGCTTCTATCTACTTTGGCTGCATCAGTTGCCCATGGTAACTCTTTAAAAGACAAATTCTTGAATAAAAGTTACCCCAGCACACTTATGGAGGAGGTCTTTGTCAAGGTCCTACCTTTTCCCTGAGGTTATGTTACTCCATGTGCTGGTGTCCATCTTGGATTCTGCTGTGCATGATGGGAATCCTTTTATGCCTTCAGGTATCTGTGGTCCATCCCCCAGAGGGGTGTGGCTGATGACATATAAGCCTGTGGCCCGCACATGCTCTTTGCACTTGTGTCTTGTGTCTTTGTGTTTGCTATTACTCTGTTCTGACTCTCGTGACTCTCCTGATATCTGATTCGGCTTGTGACTTGACTATTCTTTGTATTCTCCCTTGATCTGACCCTCTGTTGCTGAACCCGGCTCGTGACCTGTGATTCTCGTCTGCTGTCCTGTACTGTTTTGTCCTGTTGTTGCTGAACCCGGCTTGTCTGACTACTCTTTTGTCTCTTCCACCAGCTACACGCCATTGGCGGCGGCCATTACCGCAGCTGAGGTGCCTCGGGGGCCGCGACCTGGTTTCTGGCTGCGTCAAGTCCATCCCCACCATCAGGGGCCCTGGTGAAGGGCAGCCTGGGACTTAGACTCCGCGCCCTGAGGTACTTCGGTCTGTGGGTGGTGGTTGTCGTCAGCCAGTGCGTTACATTGTTAGGCCTGCCTGTCCGTTCCTCGGCCCCTGCCCTGACAGTCTTCTCCCTTTATCTCACTGATGGAGCCAAAGTAGGTAGAAGCAAGACACCCACTTGTGCTACACAACCTCCCAGGTTCTTGCCTTTTGGCTAAGGTCAGTGTACTTGTGCCTGACCTTAGTCATAGGTAATAACTGGTGCCAGTCCCTCTCGGCCTTGTTTCCTTTGGGTGCACCCCATGCTGCTATTGGGAGGGACACCACTGGGAGTGTACAAGAGTGATCGCCCTTCCCTATTTTCCCTTGTGGTTGACGATGGGATTAATGGGCATAGGTGATGGCGGCAGGAGCTCCAGGTGTGCCAAATACATTGAGGCTGGTCAAGGCAAAGAAATGTAGGATTGTTCTTCATTCAGAAGGAGTTGATTGGGACTTTCTGGGCATGGCGATAAAGAACCTTTTCTGTGTGCAAGCAAGGTCAAGACCACTGGACTGTATAACATTACTTTGTGGAAAAGGAAAGACTTGCAAACATGTTTGCTGTGGAAGGGTGAAAAAGAAAGAGAGCAGGTTTTGCAGGCAGGCAGGGGATCACATTCCTGTCTAGTGAGCAAATGCAGGTACCTCTGACTGTACATACAGTATGTTTAACCCATTTTCATGGGATGAAGAGACTTGGGCCTTTTTGCTGGATTATTGTGAATCTGTTTCTTATGAAGCTGACAAATGTCCTGGGAACCTTTAACTGTTACCAGACGTTCTGGTTCATGTTTATGGCGAGCCCGGGGAAGCAGATGGCGTACAACCTCCCCCTCAAGCTTACTCAATTGGGAGCAATCGGGGCAACCATTGTTCTGTAGGTAGTGTTTTTTTTTGGCCACATGAAAGACCAATGCAAAAAAATGGGCAGGTGTGCCGGAATTGTTATAAATCCAGCCAAGGGCTGGTGAGTGTCTGGTTGGTAAGAGCTGCAATATCTGTGGAAATGGGCTGCATCTGACAAAACAGTGTCCAAAAGGTATCGGAGGCCAGATCAAAGGACAAATCTTCAAGAGAGGTTGAAGGTGAGAAGGGCGCAGGAAATAAGACACTGCCATATGCTGATGTGGCTAGGGGGCTGCCCCAGTAACTCCAATGAAGGAGCCATGAGGCTACCTGAGGATGGGATAGTACGTGAAACATCTGGCTTGTCTGCTGAGGGTGTGTCAGATCCCTCCCCTGTTGATGCAGATGGGGAGAAAGGTGCTTCTGCTCTGGTGGAGGAGGATGTCCCTGGACACCTGACGGCTGAGGGGGATATGGTGGAGGATAAATTGGAAGAAGTGGTGGAGGAGATGGAGGTGGTGCAGCCCTCCTTGAAGCAAAAAATGGAGGTTGCAAACCCTATCCCTCCCTCTCAGGATATAGGTGGCTTTTCGGACAGCACAGTGTCGCAGGAGTCAGAGGTGGTGATTGATTCAGACTCCTCGCAGGCCACCTCCTATGTGAGCACTGGTCAGGTAGCAAACCTGCAGAACATTATGGGCTACAGTAGACCCGAACTGAAGGAGAAAGTAAGAAAGGCGGAGGAGGCATAATCTAGTATGACCGGTGTTAGGCCAGAGGAGGGACCCAGGACAAGGAGCGCAAAGGCCAGGGGGAAGGCTAAGAGGGATAAATGACAGGAATGTGATCCCCTTATTTTAATCCTTTAAATGCAATTAATAGTCTCCTCTCTTAACGTCAAGAGTATAAGATCAGCATATAGAAGGGCAACAATTGTTAAGATTTTGTCTGGTTATGCTTTTGACGTTTTTTGTTTGCAGGAGTGCAACTTGAGGGAGGAGCCATCGACTGCAAGATGGACCCATGAAGAGGCGATATGGTCCTTGGACCAAAACAAAAGCAGTGGAGTGGGGATCCTGTTTAAAAATCGTAGGATTTTAGGATGTTAAGAAAGGTGGAGTTGGAGGTGGGGTTGTGTCTTTTGGTGGTTTGTGAGTATGGAGGTGTTGTGTTGTTGTTTTGTATGTATGCACATGTAAGTTGTTTTGTGTGTATGCACCTACAGATAAGAAAGGGAGGGTGGAATTATTTTGTAAAATTAAATTATTTAGGGGCGGAAGGGATCCTACTATTTATTTGGGTAACTTTAATTGTATTTTGCATGGGGGAAATAGGTGTGGGGGTGGAGGTGGTATTGGTGATGGTGGTTTGGATAAATCAGGGAAGGAGTTGG